GCCCCAATGCTGACCCACCTCCCTGTGCCTCCCCCCCCCAGCTTCGACACGGCCGAGAGCGTCGTGATCGTGGCGTCGCAGAAGCGCGCGCTGGGCGGCCGCGAGCTGCAGCTGCCCTCCATGTCGGTGCTCACCTCCAAGACGTCGACGCAGCGCTTCTTCCTGCGGGTGCTGCAGGTCATCATCCAGCTCCGCGACGACACGCGCCGCGCTCACAAGAAGGCCAAGCAGGCCGGCCGCCTGGGTAAGGCTGCGGGGGAGGCCGGGGGTCTCGGGGGTCTCCACCCCCCCCCCCCAGGCTCTTGGTTCTTGGGGTGCTGACGGCTGTCTGCAGGTGCCGGGGGCCTCGGGGCGGCTGGCAGCATCCAGGCGGCCGTCCGGCAGCTGGAGGCCGAGGCCGACGCCATCATACAAATGGTACGTGAGGGCCAGAGGGCCCGGAGGCAGCAGCAGGCGGACACGGTTAGCACGGCCCTTCGGCCTCACCTCCCCTCCTCCTCCTCCTCCTCCTCCTCCTCCCCATCGCCTTCCTCCTCCTCGCCCTCCAGTGCCGCTTGTTTCCTTCCCGTGCTGTTGGCGCTGTGGCTTCTGCCCTCTCCATCCTCCTTCCTCCTCCCCTTCATCCTCCTCAATTCCCTCCATCCTCTTCCTCCTCTTCTTCATCCTTCTCAATTCCCTCCATCCTCTTCCTCCTCCCCTCCATCCTTCTTAACCCCCCCTTTGTTCTCCTTCCTCCTCCCCTCCATCCTCTTCCTCCCCCCCCTCATCCTTCTTAATTCCCCTTCGCTCTCCTTCCTCCTCTCCTTCCTCCTCAATTCCCTCCTTCTCCTCTTCTTCCTGTTCATTCTCCTTCTCCTTCCTCCTCCTGTTTGTTGTCTCCTTCTTTTTCCTCTCCATCCTTCCTCCTCTCCTTCCTCCCCTCCTTTCCTTCTCTTCCTCCTCTTCCTCTTCAACTTCGCCATCCTCTTTAATTCTCCTGTTCTTCCTCCTCTTCTTCCTCTTCGTCCTCTTCCTCATTTTCCCCTTCCTCCTCTTCTTTCTCCCTCACTCCATCTTCGTCCCCTTCTTCCCCCCCTCTTCCTTCTTCCTTTTCTTGCTCTTCCTCCTGTTTATCATCCTCCTCCTCCTCCTCCTCATCTTTGTGTCTTTCTCTTCCCTTCATCCTCATCTCCCTTCTCCGCCATTGTTTTCCTTACTCCTCCTCCTCTTCATCCCCCTCTTTTCTTTCATCCTCTGTCATCTTCCTCCTCCTCCTCCTCTCTTCGCCCCCCTCCCCTCCTGCGTCGCTTCCTCTCCTCCTCCTCTTCTTCCCCCATTCACCCCGCCATCCCTCCTCTTCTTCCCTCTCCATCCTCCTCCCCTCTCCCTTCCTTTGCCACCTCCTCCCCTCCTTCCTCCTCTTTCTGCTCACCACCATCTTCCTCATTCCTCTCCCTTCTCCTTTCCTCATCCCTTCCTTCCTCTTCCTCTCTCCTTCATCCTCCTCTTCCTTCACATCACGTTTCCCCCTCCTCTTTTCCCCTTCTTCCCCTCTTCCCCTCTTCCCCTCCCTCCCCCCCATCCCCCTTCCTCACCCCCCCCCCCTTCCCCCTACAACTCCATGCTGGGGGGAGGACGCAGGGGGTGACGCGGACCCCCCCGGGACCCCCCCCCC